ATTTGTAGCCATACCTCACATCTCTTTCACAACCTCCACAATTGGTTTCTTCTATAAACTTGCTTGTGCAAAAATAAGCAGTTTATTGTCATAATGCCAAGGTCCCCCATGGAGACCTTATGCCTGTTATCAACATGTGTGAATTGAAAAGCAAACGATTGGATCCCTATATCTCTTATCTCAAATGGTTTGATCGTGTGCTAGACCTTCTCCAGCATTTAGCAAGCCCAACCTCTAAGAAGGAGGTTAATCATTTGAAGTACCCGAACATTCTTTTTTGTAGATGCTACTAGACGTGCTACCAAGCCGTTTAGGAGCACCTCGCATATGCCTTCGAGCATGTGATATGTGTTCACAACTAGCACAACATCTTCATCGTCAACTAACGTCACTCTCTGCAGTCCAACCTCCATCTCTTCATTTGGGTTACATCTCATAAACATCTTTGTTCATCTCTTTTCCATGACCTAGTCCAGCTATTTCTTTCACTATAATTTTCTTAGAACTCTACCAACAAAAAAAGATTCACTGGCTCTTTAATAAATAGTCTCAGGAGCTAGGGTTTTTAACCAAAGCACTCGTCTACACTGATCTCAAGAAAACCTTTCCTCCTTGTACAGGAAACTCTCTAATCCTCTTCCAACTCTAACAAGGACAACTTAATACTCCAAAACACCAACCAAGACCCCTCTCAACATAAACACTAACTCACAATCCAAGCTAACCAAGCAAACTAGAGATTTAGCCAAACAAAACTAGCCAAATTGCCCTCACGCTGACTAAAATCTTATTTGAACCTCTCGCAGCTCGAGGGAGAAAAAATGACGAGGCGAAGAAAATTCACTTAATCCCACTATAGCAATTAGGGGTGTACTAGGTCGGGTGGTCTGGGTTTAGACATTTTAATCACCCGACCCATGCATTACGGTTTGGGAAATATTAAACCCAAATCCACCCAAAAAAATCTAAACCCTACGGTTTGTTTCTAATTGGGTTGGGTCGGGTTGTCGATATTTTTAAGTAAAAACCCAACCCAATACAAAATATGTAATTATTCTACATCATAAAAATATTTTATAACTAATTAAAAATTCAAACGAATAAACCAATGTGAAAGGTATCAAAATTCACAAATGTTGCTTGAATTTTAATAAAATTTGATTTACTTCAACTTATGTCTAGTTTTTTTCATGACATTTGTTGAAATAGGCTAAAAAGGTTACAAATGAACGCATCCAAAATATGTTATTCTATTAAAATTGTACACAAGAAAAAAACTTACGTGAATCATAGCAATATTAAATTTATGTCTAAACTTTAAGCCGAAGAATGCATTAGATTAGGGAGACCTTAAGAGAAAAACATGGCAAAATATGTTAATTTTCTCATAAGTATGACTATATACGACATAAATATTTTTTTGATACGAACTCATATCAATAATTGGAACACGGGTTGGGTCGGGTTCTATGGGTTGTGTAATCCAAAACTCAAACCCAACCCAAAAGAGGCGGGTTGTACAAAAGAAAATCCTCACCCAACCCAAAACATTCGTTTTAGCGATAAATACGGGTGGGTTGGGTCGGGTTGAAGGGTGGGTCGGTTTGCGGGTGTGTTTGTTAACCCCTAATAGCAATTAGCAAGCCATTTTTGTTCATTTCACCTAGGAAATAGAGGGAGGTTGGCTTAGGATTTATTATTGTGTCTTGGGAATCTTTTCCATGTCCATTAAGAGCATTCACATTGGTATTGCATTCTCAATTGCAAGTTGACATGGAATTGGTTTTGCAATTGTGTTTTGGGAATCTTTTCCATGTCAATTAAGAGACTCCACATTGGTATTTCATTCTCAATTAATAGCCTCCACCGCACTAAAATAATCTAGGGTTGGACTCCTCCATTGCGGTCATTAGTCTAGGGAGTAAAGAATATGAGTCGTCCCAATCACCATACACCTCATCCATGGCCTAGTGCTTTCCATACCATGCCTTCTTGTACCTGATCGTGTAGGAATGTCAATCCTTCACCTCGGCCATGATAGGTTTGATCTTGATATCTGGTCGTGCCTCGATCAAGTGCTTAATGGTTCTTGGCACTTTCTTTGCTTTAAGTTGGCGGTGATCTTGGGAAAGTTTGGTTACGGAGCAACTGTGATTGTTCTCTGCTTTTCGAATGACCCAGACACCCTTTCTCTTCATATTTGAAGCCCTCAATTGCCACATAAAACCCTCTCCAGCATACTTGCATATGACATGTAGTTGTTTGGTGTCAGAATGTTTTACCTTCCACTAGAAATTGCGCCGCATGGCTTCTTCGTTAAAAGCATCTTGGCAGTCGGATTATACACTGGCGTAGGGAGAAAGTCAGGAGAATCGCTCTGACTATATAAAAATTGAGATGCCACCTCATCGTCGATATCATCCGTATCTTCCTCCTCGCTGACTGATATCAAATCTTCCTCACTTTCCTCATCGCTGGAGGCGAATGGATAGCTCGGCCCAGGAGAATCATCATGATCTGCATCACCAACATAATTTTCTCTCTCATGCAAAGTGCGTCTAGGTTGAAGGGTGTTCTCAATGTCAGCCCACTCTGCCCCCAAGCAGGTCATTGAACGTCGTCGGGCTCAACGAATGGGGCAGGCTCAGCATGTTGCGGGTATTCTTCCCATGCCACACCTCCTGCAGAACTACCTCCTCCGTAGTTGCTTGAACTACCACCCTGTCCGTATTCCGTACCCTCCTGCAAAACCATCATAATAAGAATACCGGTGAAAATGAGTTTCACCCACCTCCTCGATCTCGACATACACCTCTACAAGCCGCATCCCGTTGTCATATAAGAACTGTATCATCATGATAACCGCGTCATCATCATTTATAACAACTTCTTCGTACATAACTCCGCCAACACTCATGTTTGGATACCGGTAAGTAATTTTACCAACTCTCGTCTCGTCTGTCTGCCCATACAAATCATGTTTGCACAAATGTCACGGAGTTCTCGCCACGTGAATCTCGACTCAATTTTTCAGCATAGTGGATTCACCATCTTCATAATCGACCCCAATGTAAGAGTTTGTCACTCGACCATTCTACCAAATAATAAGCCGAAACTTCTTAAATTTACTGATATCTGCAATTTATAGTAAGTAACTATTAGTTTATCTCGAATAAGATTAGTATAGTATAATTAGTACTTGGGGCTACACAAACAATATCCAACACCATATTTTTAAGGCTACGAAAATAATATCATCCAAAACCATAAACAACCGCAACTAACTAATCAAAACATGGACCATAATTAGCATTACAATAACATGAGTATACTAAACAAATTCATCTAAATTCATCTAACTAACATCAATAATACTATAATTAATCTAAATTTCTCTAACATAACATATTTGCCACTAATCACAGTTCATTAAATACATACATATAATTATTAAAACATCAATATTTAAACAGTATATAATTTTATCATACCAAAAATTTGAGTTTCTGTATCCGTAGTTGTTGGAAGTAGGCTTAGAAGGAGATTTTTGCAGAAATTTGAGTGGAACAGGGCAGATTTTTGAGGCAGGTACGTGGGGGTTCGGTGCAAACCAGGGAAAATAATCACCGAAAGAGTCCATAGCAGTGAAGTGTTCACTGGGTGAATGCTAGGTTGTTGTGACCTAATTTTCCACCTAACAGGGCTGGAAAACGTGGTAAACAATCACCGGTTTTCACAACTGTGATGACATATTCATCATTGTCAACCAGCGCGGTGATAACTTCACCGTTTTGCTCTTCTACGGTGATAGTTTCACCGTTGTTTATCATAGCGATCATGCTTTCCCTGTTATCCTTTAAGGCGGTGATATGTTCACTGTCTTAGTCTATTGAGGTGATATTATTCATTTTTTTGTTCCATTGCGATGATGAACAAACATGTATATTTTAGGAATTATTTTTATAACTGACCTATTTTGAAAATATTTTTTAAGAACAAGACAACTAGTGTATTTTAGTTTTTTTTTTTCTGAATTTGTGACTGCGATGAACGGAAGGGAAGGAGGCGAGGGAAGAGAACTAGAGAAGGGTCAACTAGTCAAAGGGAGGACGGGAGGCGGCCCACGACGATGAATTGGTGACTGCGGGAAGCCACGTGGCCAATTTAGCCAAATCTGTTGTGCTTGCTTAGGACAAAACGACATCATTCTACACAGTAGGAAATTAGAATACCAAAATCAGAGGAATTCCCGAGGAAGAGGACGGAAGAATAAGACGACGACCCTAAAATTTCTCCGCATTTGGATTCCAGAGCTTTCTCTCTGTAACGAGGTAATTTTGCTATCCGCCATTTTTTCTCATTCATTGGAGCTCTCCTTCCGTTTCTCTAGCCTTTCGCGTTCTTCGTCCCCAGCTTTTTGAATTGTTTTGTCATATGTTTATGACGGTGCTGATGATGTCGGTGATGCTTCGTTCTGTAATTGCTCCTGTTCGTTATAGGAACGGAAAAACAAGAATTTTCTTCTGTTAATGGGTATTCCATACATGGAGGAGAATTTGTCAGTGGTGATGTGTTTTTTAGTCAATCTTGACATTAATTGACGGAGATGGGGAGGAAGAGAAGGAAAAAGGGGAAAATGGAGTTCTAGGGATATTCATTGATTGGGGAGAATGAATCCATGCTAAAATTGCAATGGATTGAAACAAATTTCTGAAGTGCCACTGTGGGTCATTTTTCAAGGCTTAGTCCTTCATTTCTCTTCCGTTTCTACTCCTTTCAACCAATTTCCCCTTCAAGAGGATAAATCGTTAAGCACTTGGTATGTTCCTTGCAGGTTTCAGAATTTATTTGAGCTTGGCCTTTCCTCTCTGCGATAAGAAGTCGTTTGGAAGTCGGCCAGGTTTCTCTTTCAGCTGCTGCCAATTTACCACTGGGGTCCTTGAGTAGTAACGTTTTAGCATAGAAAGGATTTGTAGCGTCAGCCACAATTCATTTCAGCCATGCCTGGGGCTGGTTCCTTGCAATTGTCTCATGATTTGGGACTTTGCAAGAGCCAGAGCCGTAGGCAATTTAAGGTATATTTTTATGTTTCGTTTTGGAAGCTTTCTTGCCATATTCATTTCAAATGTGATGCCCAGTTTCAGGAAGGAACACTAACTAAGTAAGATGGTTGTTCCCAGGATACACTAGGAAGGAGCAGGCTACCTTCCTCAAGTGCTAGACTGTCTTCATGTGTTTCGGTAATGTCCAGATCATCAAAACTTGTTCCAGGATTCATGAACACTAGTGCAAATTGCTAGATAGGGTCTTCGTCATGTTTCTAGCTTCTCAGATTTTGAATGTAGATTTTAAATAGAAAAACCGAAAGAGATGAGATTACCCGTTGGAGCTTACTTTGATTCACTTTCTCTCTACAGCTCGGGCTTATTTATCTGAACGCCCTTGATCTACCATGTTGCCTCTTCTGATTTCTTAGGGTTTCTAGTTTCTCTTCTCCACTTTAATAATATAAAGCTATTTGAGCCCCTGTTGAGAGCCAGCTAGAAAATGTGTTTTTGGGGGTGAGGGAGGCGGTATCCTCTCTTTTCATCCACCTGGTAGCAGATTGGCTGGTTAATGCTACAAGCTAGATAATGGAGCATGAAAGAGTATTTTCTGTTCGCTTGTCTTTGATGTTCAGCTCTTGTGCATAGGGTGGTCATTTTTACTGTGTTGCAAAAACTGGATTTCCTATGTATCATTGAACAACAGAACATTGTTTTTCTTTCTTAGAATTCAAATCTATCTCCCCCCCCCCCCCCCCCCCCCCCCTTATGACAGAAATCAAAAGTTTAAGTCCATAAAAAGTTGCTTAGTAACCCTGGTCCAATGTGATCTTCTGACACTTGGTTTCTTGAACTCCAGAGACAGGACAGCTGGACTCTTCGTGTTTTGGGAAGTGCTTACAGATCCACCTGCTATGTACCAAAAAGAAGTAGCACTTTTAGGTGCCATTCTACGTTGGTACCTGGTCAAATCCTTGAATTTCCTGTCATAAAGGCTGCTTCAGGAGCTTTGACGAGGTAACTACTCGTATTCTGTTAGCTCACCAACATTGATATCTTAGTGCTTTTTGATAGTGTACTAGTATAGGTTTTGGGTTTAATTCGTTTTTGGTATTTCTATCTTATGTTGGTTTATTGCATATGGGTGTGTTTTTGCTACTAACTTGATGGCTGTGTTTTTCGGATTATCGTGTATAGTTTATAACACACTAAACTATTTCAGGGCCTATAACAATCTACAAGGCAGTCGTCTTGTACTCAGGATAGCTCCAGCTGTAGGTATTATTGTATTTGCTCTATGGGGTCTTGCACCGCTTATGCGTCATAGCCGAAATCTAATACTGTGTGTATGTATTCTTTTGTAGTTCTCTTTCTTCTTCCTTTTACAATTTGTGTATTCTTTTGAGATTCTGTTTGTAATGCTGGAAGTATTACAGAAAAATGATAACGGTTGGAAGAAGAGTAACACATACCATGTCACGACCTCTTACCTTCAACCTTTGCTGCTGTGGGCAGGTGCAATATTTATATGCAGGTACAACCATGGAACCTCATTATTTGTTGGTAGTATGTTAAGCTTTTGTGTTAGTTATGCCTAAATGCAGTTACTAGATGATGTACTCATTCTAGTTGGATTACTGTAGGGCGCTGGATCCTGTTGCTCTTCCCACAGAAGCTAGTCAGATTGTCAAGCAAAGGCTACTTAATTTCATACAGTCATTATCAACTGTGCTGGCATTTGCATATTGCTTATCACGGTGACTGATGCTTCTTAACCATTCCTAATCTTGTTTTCATGTGTTTGTGTTTTGTATCATTAGTTTCCACCTTATCCTAGTTTCTATCTCCCTCTTTCTGAGCAGTTATGTGAGTCTGACAACTGAACGAGATGTGTGAAATGTGTATTTCACTGGATAGAGCTCCCCTTTAGGAATCTGATATTGAACATTATTGTTTTTTTTTTCTCCATATCTGAACTTCACTTAAACAATTTTTCTGCAGCCTGATTCAACAGACCCAGAAGTTGTTTGTGGAATCTAGCGAGATCAACGATCGAGGAAATGTGCGTAAATATTCTGCAACACAATAAAGTTTTTTTTGTTATATGCTTTTGAGTTCTATCTCTATATTCACCTAACACATCTTTAATTATTCTAATTATCGTTGTACAAGAACGGTACTGAGGAGGGATTCATAGTTGGGTTTGTCATATTACCATAGGATTTGCATTGTTCCCTTTTCTCCTAGCTACCCCATTGAGTGCGCTAAATCAGGCCATTCTATGGAATGGCAATTTCCTAAAGTGAAACTATTGCCACCTTCATTTAATACTCCCGATGGGCAGAGACAATTCGGCTTACATCCATTTTGAACCTATTACAATATGATGTATTCATCGTTGCATATTCATTTGCAAATACGTTTCCTCCTTATGGGCAACATCTTTTCCCTTTTAAATAAGTGTTTGTTGATATTCCTTCGCATTGTGGCAGATGGGGTTAGACTTTGCTGGGAAAGCTGTGTACTCTTCAGTGTGGATAGCTGCTTTTTCACTCTTCATGGAGTTGCTGGGTTTCTCTACCCAGAAATGGCTTACTGCTGGAGGTCTGGGGACAGTATTGCTCACCCTTGCTGGCCGTGAGGTGAAATTTAGTTCTTTCCTCATTTTCGATTTCTTTCCGAACAGCTTTTAGTCATTGCATCAATTACCGAATTATGTACACACACGTATACATGCTCCATAGTTATGATTTTTTCCTCTTTGTTACAGATATTTACAAATTTTTTATCTAGTGCGATGATTCATGCAACTCGGCCTTTCGTTGTAAATGAATGGATCCAGACGAAAATTGAAGGGTATGAAGTTTCCGGCACTGTTGAGGTTCGTGTTCCGCCCCCAGTCGAAAAAATAAAAAATCTTCGAGGCCATAATTATGTCCCTGCATGTAGAGTTGTTATCCCTTCAGATGGTCATAGTGTCATCTCGGAAACTTGGGAAAAGAATTATTGAGAGTACGTATTTGTTGATTTATGCAGCATGTTGGTTGGTGGTCACCAACAATAATAAGAGGTGAAGATCGTGAAGCAGTTCATATCCCAAACCATAAGTTTACAGTGAACGTTGTGAGAAATCTCAGTCAGAAGACTCATTGGAGAATCAAAACACATCTGGCTATTAGTCATTTTGATGTCAATAAAATCAATGTGAGGAACCATCTATTTTAACCAGGTCCTTTTTTTCTTATTCCCTGAATCAACATGACCTGGATCCTCTATTGATAAGTGTAAGGCTTTTTCTTTTTCAGACAATTGTTGCTGATATGCGTAAAGTGTTGGCAAAGAATCCTCAGGTTGAGCAGCAAAGGTTGCACAGAAGAGTATTTTTAGAGAATGTCAATGCTGAAAATCAAGCACTCATGGTCAGTGATCCCTTCTTGATGAAAGGATAATGTGCCACCTGACCGCAAAGTGGTTTTTCCATACTTCAGTTCTGATATACTTTACCTGCATCATTGTTATTGCACTTCTTTCTGAGTCAATGCTTTTAACATCTCGAATATGTCATTCTTGCTTGGTACTTGTGGACATATTCTTGCTTGATACTTGTGTATCCACTAGTTTCTTGCCCAGGTTCACTATATATCATAAGTTCATACTGAATATCGGGTCTCTTCTTCTTGCTAAGTGGTAACCCTCTTGTTTACTTCTGAAATACAGATCTTAGTGTCGTGTTTTGTGAAGACGTCACATTTTGAAGAGTATCTCTGTGTAAAGGTAAGGAGTCTTATTTTCTGGTAGATTTGGTATCATTATCATTCCACTTGAAGCACTATTGGAAGTGCTTTGTTTTTGTGAAAACAGGAAGGCATACTGTTGGATCTTCTAAGAGTGATCAGCCATCACCGTGCCAGACTGGCCACACCAATCCGTACAGTGCAGAAGATGTACGCTGATTCTGATATGGAGAACGTTCCATTTGAAGAATCGTTCTACAACAGTGATACTGGTGTAACATCTAATCGTCCTTTACTACTAATTGAACCCTCTTACAAAATCAACGGAGAAGATAAAACAAAATCCCAAAGTCGAACATCCCGAACAGTTGGAGAGCAAGAGAATAATAAGAACATGCCACCTAAACCTTCAGTCGAGATTCAATCAGGAGGAAGTCAGAAGTCTGATTCCAAAGTGAAAGAGACAGCAGCAGCAGCAAATGCAAAGGCGGATGCCAAGGTTACCAAAACAGCCCCAAATCCTGATGCCAACAAGAAGGCAGCAGAAAGATCAAGTTCCAGCGTCAAAGCTGCTGGCAAGCGTGTTGATGAGCCTTCAGTTTCATCATTGGAATCCCAACAGACGAAACAGGGAGGCGAGAGGAAATCTGTCTCTCAACCTTCAACTTCGAGGCCTGCTGCCTTGGAGGAGAATATTGTACTTGGTGTTGCTTTGGAGGGATCCAAGAGAACGTTGCCTATCGAGGAAGATGTCACTTCACCACATGCTGTCCAAGGAGAGGTCAAGGAAACGGCTGGTGCTGGCCGACGTGACGGCAGCTCGGGGACGGATAAGAAGAAAGAGGACAATCAGGTTGCAACCAACTCTGCTGCAACTTCTTCTGGTGATCAGTAATGGCCACTGGATCATCCTGCTGCAAGTGGCTAATTGATCACATTTTAATCTTTGTATTCTGAGTTGGGTTATTACTTAACCACACTGTAAATTCTTTTACGTGCCGTCGATTGCCATTCAGAGGGCTCTCTCTAATCGGACGTGCAGAAAGTGCATTCTTTTGTATTTGATGGCAATGGCCATTTTATTTGGTTGGCCTTCTTCCAGTCACTCCCGTTATAAGCATTATATTCTGAAACTCTCTTCTCCAGTCCATCGGAGACCCGCCGCTCCCAGTTGCCGGCTCCGCCTCCTCGATACCTCTGATAGCTCAGCTGTTGATTTGACCCGCCCAGTTGTAGATCACCATATCTCTCCTTCTCGATCTCTAGACCACCAGAAACCCACGCCGACAGGCGCTCGATGTACTCAGTTTTCTCTCTCGAATCCGACTCTTCCTCCCAGTTCGCGATCGCCTGGACGACGACGGCGACGATTCCGACTCTTCCTCTAAAATCATAAACCCATCGCCGGCGGCGCCTAATCAGGCTGAAGTTAGTACCTGAATTTTATAGAGTTTCAAATAGGTCAAGCATCATGTGCGAAAAATTATATTTCAATACCTAATAAATTTTGTTTTACATTTTTGTATCTAAAAAAGAAAACATTTACATATCTAAAAAAGAAAACATTTACAAGCAGGTCCAAAGTGATGGGTACCATGCTCAACCCATGTCCATTTTCAAATTGAAAACAAAATTCAAACCCAACTCTTCCTATCCAAACACTATCCAAACCCATATAGAACAAATTCATACCCTATGGCTCGCTCTGAATGCACCACTTAAAAACTCCCGATTAAGACCCAAGTATAAACCTTAACCGGGTGCAGTACAAGACAAGTATGTTTAAATATTGACTCGGGCCGCTTCATGTACCCTACTTCGATTGTTTGTAACATTATCTAGCGGTTGGTTTTGGTGAAAACAGCGATCTAAAGCTAAAGTACTTGCAAAGACAAATGGTTTTGACACTAATTGAGAAGGCTTCACCAGGGTGTTGCTCCCCTAGCTAGCAATTACGACTTAATGGATTGAAGGGACATGTGTGGTGAGGGGGTTGTAAACCGTAGGGAAGTCTAACAAGTAGCCAAAGCCACCCTCTTAATCTCTAGGTCGAGGAAAGGGAATATGATCCCAGCCACCAATGTGACTCTCTCGACCTATTGACTAAGAAATAGTTAGACTTCACCCTCGAATCGGAGTTCGGAAGGCCACCCGCAACCAAACCCTAGGTGCTAATACGAAATAGGAGGTTTGTCGTGCGTTAACCTAACTAGAAGACAATGAATTGCATAAGAAAACCCAGCATTCAAGCCTCTTTCACAGAAAGGAAGGGGGTTTTCTCTCTACCTAGGTTAGAATGACAATTAGATTGATAGGCTTTCACACAACATAATCATTCATGAATAATACCTCCACATTCACATCAAACACAACCACAACACAAATCATTAATCCATACAAGCATTCACATATTTGTAGCTAGTGTTTACAATCACTCAAGTGAAAGAAGGGACTACTCCATGCTAGGAGAAGGGAAAACACAATAGAGAAGAAGGGAAACCATCAAAGAGATGCTAGCCTTGCTCCTTGTGTTGAAGAGATCCTCCTTTGGGGGATGAATTCCCAATTCCTTGCTTGAAGATGAAACTCTAGCTTCTTCTCTTCTTTGGTTCGTCACTTTCTCACTCTAGAAATCTGAAGAAGAAGAAGTTTCTCACACTAGGTCTCCCTCATTTTCTCCTTTGGCTCAACCTCCTTTAAATACCCAGATCGGGCTTAGTTCACGACCGTGAACTGAAAGCCTAGACCGTGAATCAACAATGAAACGCGCCGCATCACTAACTTCTGTTCACGGACGGAGGTCTGAGTTCACGGTCGTACGACCGTGAACTGGCTCGTGTCCAGTGAAACCCTTCTGTGCTCTAGATGCGTAGTAGTTCGCGGGGAACGTCTCCAGTTCACGGTCTTAGTGACCATGAATTCACAGCTCAAATAGTGAACTGATACTGTTTCCACCGTTTGACTCGATCTTTCGCCCTTTCGTCCAACTTTTGACTCCGGGGTTGGTTCCACCTGCCAAAGCCTGAAACACACCCAAACAAGGCACAACCAGACGTAAAACCAAAAATCCCGAAGTAAAAATGCTTCAATCGACTAAGCAAACCGGGGGTAAAAAGTGTACACATGAGCCCGAATCACCCTGCCCATATAGATGAGTCTAATTGGGTTTGGGGGGAAATACCCATGAGTGGGTTTGGGGAAATAATCTTTGGCAAACAAGAGACTCCTTTCATGCAAAAGCAAACTAATAATTAAAAAAAAAAAAGCAAACTTGTGAAAAAGCAGTAGCAAATGGAGCAATGGTGAGGGCTTCGTTGATGAACAGAGGAAAAAAGTTGTCTCTCCATCAGCGGTAGAGCCTCAACCTTTAAATATATATGTACAATTTATAATATATTTTAAAAATAAACTAGTTAGAAAGACTTTAGTCTTTTATTAATTTTTATGATAAAATCTCTAAATATAAATTGTTTATCCCTACCTTGTTCAGATTTCTAGCTCTGCCCTATTATTCTTTTTCTACTCATAAAATATGAAGAAGCATCATTGACAAAATGGAAGCTGATGACGAAGCACGTGTTGATGGACCGGATTAGACCACAAATACTCACTTTACAATTATATTTTTATACACAACACTATATCGCCAATTTGACGATTAAAAATGTATGAATGCCAGAAACTATCTGAATGTGTGAGCATTGACTCTAGTAATTCAAAATAATTAATTCTAATAATTCAAATTATTGAAGGAAAGACCATAAAGGGGGACAAAATGTCCGAACCCATTATATGAAGTACGCAATTCACCCATCCCCCTATATTGTTGTGGTCTCTGTTTCTGAAAGCTGCTACAATGATGGTTCTTCTTCACATCTAAAAAAGTTGTTGGTCGGTTGATAAATGAAGCAGCTCCATTACATTTTTCTACTCTGCCAATGTCTCTCCTTTATTTTCATATGCAATACCCCTCTAAGGTAACCGAAAAAAGAGAGCAAAGAAGAGATATTGACAAACATGTGGAGTGATAGGATTGGCCACAATCTTTCGTTTTGAGAAATTGGTAAGAAACCAACAACTTGAGGCGAAATTCGCTCCTATCCATCAGCTCATTATAATCTCAGAGAAAGGCCATTGTAAACGCAAAAAAGGGAAGAATACCTCTAACTCCACACATTCCCCCCACTCTTTCACTTTTCCTTTTTTACTCTTTTTCTCTTTGATTTTCCACTTCTTTTCCCTTTCCTTCCTTCTCGTCAAACAACACGAAAGAGGGAGAAAAGAAAAAACAATCTCCCCCTGCTCTCTCTCTCTCTCTTCCCCCCGAAACAAACACACACCGTAGGATTGATTATTGGGTGCCATGTCTACCATTGATCTTTGATATCCTTCTTCCCTGATTTCATGATAATAGACAACGCGAAAGAGGAGTAGTAGTAACGTCTATGTTCTTCGTCATCCAAATGTAGACCACATTGATTCATATAAAACACCAAACACAATGTGTTAACGTTTCCACAACCCAAAAACAACAAAACATAGGGACTTGGGAAGAGGAAGAAGAAGAAGGAGAAGAAGAAGAAGAAAAAGAAGAAGAAAACAATGTTGCAGAGAGCTGCAGGCAATGCTTATTCATGGTGGTGGGCCAGCCACATCAGAACCAAGCAGTCCAAATGGCTCGAGCAAAATCTTCAAGGTACCTTACCATTACAATTCCTCAAGTTGAGATAATTCCTGAAAACTTGATGATAACATGTTGGGTTTTTCTGCAAATTTCAAACAATATTTTTTCTTTCACTGTTATTGCTTTAAGATGTGGTATGCTACATTTTAGTTAATTATCCTCCAACGTTAATCTTGGGGTTCTCTGAAAACATGTTCCTTGTAATGACTAGAAATATCTAAAATCATTTTCTAGATATGGAAGAAAAGGTGCATAGTGTGATGACACTAGTATCAGAAGATGGAGACTCCTTCGCAAAGAGGGCAGAAATGTACTACAAGAAAAGACCGGAGATCATCACTTTTGTCGAAGAAGCTTATAGAGCTTACAGAGCATTAGCCGAGCGCTACGACCATATTTCAACCGAGCTTCAAAATGCCAACAACACCATTGCCTACGTCTTCCCCGAACAAGTCCAGATGGCCATGGAAGATGAAGATGACATTCCTTCCCCACGTTTCCTTAAGAAACTCCCAGCCGCCGGCGAACCACCAAAGGGGAACATCCCAAAAGTGCCCAAGATCCCCAAAGAGATAAAGGGTATGTTCCAATCCGCCACTAAAAAGCTCCAACCCAAGAAATCGATCAAGGTGACAACCGCATCATCATCTCCAGCTGCTCCCAAACCCACTATGTCGAAACCTGAAGCATTCAAGCATATCGATAAGCTTCAGAAGCAGGTTCTGGCTTTACAAACAGAGAAGGAGTTTGTCAAGAGTTCCTATGAAAATGGATTGGCCAAATATTGGGAAATTGATCAGCAGATTAGAGAGATTCAAGATAAAGCTTGCAGCTTGCAGGATGAATTCGGCGCCGAGACAGTGATAGACGATGACGAAGCACGATTAGTGATGACGTCAGCTGCACTAAAATCGTGCCAGGAGACTTTGGTCAAGCTAGAGGAGAAACAGGAAAAGTCGGCCGAAGAGGCTAAGAAGGAGAGGAAGAGGATTAAAGAAGCAAAGGAGAAGCTCACGTCTCTTCTAAATCACAAGCCTGGTGAAATTGATGGAGAAAAGGGGAAGGAAGAGGAGAATAATTTCAATTTTGCAGCGAAAGAAGTGGCAGAGGAAGAAGAAAAAGAGGAGTTGAGAGCTTTGCAACAGCAGAGGCAGGAGATTGAGGTGTTGAGGGAGAAGATAAAGAAGCATTTCGAGGCAAGCGCAGATTCATCTTTGACGGTCAGTGAGATGGCCGAGAAGATTGATGAGCTGGTGAATAAGGTGGTTGGATTGGAAGCTGCGGTTTCATCACAATTTGCTTTGATAGAGAGGATGAAGGCCGAGACAGATGAGCTTAATAGTGAGATTCAGAGCTTGGAATGTGATAAAGACAAGTTCGAAAGTGGGGAGACAAGTTTGAATGGGAAGGTGGAGGAAATGGAGAGGAAGCTGGAAGGGATTGAGGAGATGAATGAGAATGTTGAAAATCAGAGTACTAATCTGCAAACAAATTTCATGGAGGCAAAATGTAATCTTGATCATTTGTACGATAAGTTGGATAGCGTGAAGCCAGATGAGGAAGTTCAAACTCCACCTTTGCATCAGTTTAAGAAAGCTCCCAAGTTTGAATCATCACAACAACAACCATTTGTTAAAGGGAAGAACATAAGGAATGCTGTTAAGGAGTTTGATAATTCTGTGAAAGTAAGTCACCTTTTTTTTATGATTTCCTACTTACCTGGATGGTGAATTGTTTAGATATTAAGTTAGTGTGTTTGTATCTAATGTGATTGTAGCAAGACAAAGAGAAAAGTCAAAGGGAGTTGAAGCAGCAACAAGTAGCTGATGAGATTAGGCAAGCGAGGGAGGCAAGGGAATCGAGGAAGAAGGTGAGGATTTCAGAAAAGAAGAAGAAGAAGGACAAGCCAAAGAAGGACAAGAAGTCCGTGGAAGAAATTACAGACGTAAAACAAGAAGTTGAACAAGTTGCAGAACAGGTAAAAAATGTTGTTACAGATGTGAGAACAGAGGAACAAGGATATGCTGTTGAAACAACAGATGGAGTTGTGAATAGAGGAGAAGAAATTGGACAGGACAAGAAACAAGAAGAGCATAAGCCAGACGATTCTGTTTTTCCTGGTGACATGGGGGATACCAGAACAGAGTTAGAGATCAAAGAACATGATCTTGGGAGCTTGTTGAAAGATGATATGGGCAAAGGAATTCAAACCCAGATGAGAGATGACAGGGAGTCGCTAGAGGATTCTAAAGCAATTTCAAAGCAAATATCTTTGAAGAAAGTCGAGAAACCTGGCTCTGGTACACAAGAAAAGGTAGAAGCAACATCAAATGTTGGTTCTGGTGATGAACAAGAAGGAAAAGGAAGAAAGGATGCAGATGTGAACAGAGGAGATCAAATTCAACAGGTGCAGAAACTAGATGAAAACTTCAACCGGTCTACATCAGTTGCTAATAAACATGGTCTTGGTAGCCTGCTGGTGAATGATCCACATGAAGTTCAATATGAAGAGAAACAAAATGATAATACAGAGGATTCTAGTGATGAGAGAACTGTTGCAAAGCAAAAATCTTTGAAGAAACTTGAAATGCTTAGTGCTGAGGCACAAGAAAAGGTGGCAGCAGCTGCAGTCGCTGATGTTGATGTTGATGTTGATGCACAAGAAAATGCAACAGTAAAATCACAAGATGATTTTTGTGGCGAAACACGAGAAAATACAGCAGCAACAGAAGCATTAGCAACCATGCCCACAACAATTGATGATAATAGTGTTCAAACACAAGACAATGCAGCAGTATTGAAGAGTGAGAGTGAAGATGACGAACCAGATTGGAAGAAGTTGTTTTTGAAAGGTGTGGAGAATAGAGAACAAGTTCTTCTTGAAGAATACACGACCATTCTTCGAAGCTATAAGGAAATTAAAAAGAAACTCACAGAATCAGAGTCTAAAGAAGGGGATAACTTGCTTGACATAACCATCCAACTAAAAGAATTAAGGGCAGCCAATGCTAAAAAGGATGAACAGATCCGAATGCTGAAGAAAAGACTCAGCCTCTTGCAGCAGGACAATGAGGACAAACCTGGGTCACCATTCACAACAGATGATATACTACATGGTTTGAATTTGGATCTGGATGTTGAAATCTCTCCCATTGAAGAGAAGTTTCGCTCAAGCATTGATGAAGTTTTGGAGGAGAACTTGGATTTCTGGATGAGGTTCAGCACCACATTTCAACAGGTGCAGCAGTTTGAGACTGAAGTCAAAGACTTGCAATCCGAGTTGTCTGAACTGGAGGAGAAGTTGGGGAAGCAAGAAGGGAGCAGTCATGGGAAGTATAATCTGAAATCAGATGCAAAGCCCTTGTATAAGCACCTAAGAGAGATCCATGCTGAGTTGACGATTTGGATTGAGAAAGGTATGTTGTTGAAAGATGAACTTAAAGGAAGATTCTCGGCTTTGTGTGAGATTCAGGATGAGATCAAAGAAGCTCTCAAGGAGAGTGCTGAAGATGAAGAGTTCAAGTTCACCAGCTACCAGGCTGCAAAATTTCAAGGTGAGATTCTAAACATGAAGCAAGAGAACAACAAAGTTGCAGATGAACTGCAAGCAGGGTTAGATCATGTAACAACCTTACAACTTGAGGCTGAGAGGACACTGGCCAGGTTGAATGAAGAATTCAAGCTTTCTGGATCCAAGAATCGCCAGAATATCCAACTTCAACACTCAGAGAGTCGATCTCGAGTTCCTTTGAGATCTTTCATTTTTGGAGTCAAACAAAAAAAGCAAAAGCATTCCATTTTTGCCGCTGTCCATCCAGTACTCCACAGAAAGTACAATGGATTGAGATCAGGACTAAATCTATGAATAATGTTTCCCCCATATTCCTGGTCTTCCTCCCCATTTCTTGGTTGTGTTGTATTTGTAGATTCTCATTATTTAATTGTGTCTATACAGATATCACTGATTCTATTTATGGATATTCTGTGTCCTTTAGACCATTATAGAGATTTTATGGATAACTTTTAGCATATTAACAAAGTTTTTCGTATGTTCCGAACATATCTAGTTTCTCAATTAAATATCCCTTGTGATTGGATAAGGCAAAGTAAAAACGTTTGAAAAAATAGACACCATTCATAACAACTCATCAAATAGAGAAACAACAATTCTGTTAGCAAACAGGTTTTAATAATATGAACTCATTTCCAGGTAATTACATGATACTTTCCTTTGTCCGCATTCAGATGCATGAAAAAAGGATTAAAGAAGCAACAAACTCTCAACAACATAAAGAATGATGAAGTAACTAAAATAAAAAACACGACATAGATGAATCATTTGTAACAGCACAAGAATTCCATCTTTCCCTTGAAATGGAAACTCTTGAGCTCTTCCGCTAACTAAATGTCAACTCAAAGACTACTTTCGCTCCCCTTCTCTTCTCTATGCGTAGGCCAATGTGATGCATCAACTCTTGGAAAAAGAATCAGATAACGTTGTCTAAGTAAAAGAGTCCGCATAAAGTATCGATATAAGCCTGAATAATATTGCAAAAATTATAGCTTCAATTATATAAGGAAATGGGTGAAAAGCATTTCAATACTTGCCAACTCTTGTATATTGATAACTTCAAGAGTTCATTGGCTTCTCAAAACTAGGATAACAAGACAAAAGAAAACTAAAGAACTTTATGAGTGTCTGCAAATGAGCTATAACATCTTTAGCAGCTCAAGCAACATGAACTGAAAGGTCGAATGTTGCATAACCACGAGAGTAAACAAGCACATATTGCAAAGGGGAAAGCATACCACGATTCCTGGTAGATAATGATGAACAAATGAAATCCAGCATGCAGATATCTATGCATATCCCTAGTTCCCTACCACTAATATCTTCAAGATGTCAGGGTATCGACCAGAATGTTAGACAATGCTATATGTAAGAAAGAAATGAAAGGCCACCCACAAAAAGAGCATAATGAAGAAAATAAAATTTACTTAAACCTTGAATTTTATTGGTCACAACTCACTACCCAATCCACAAACATATTGGACCCGTCTTTCTTAACACTTGCAACCCATCAATGCAATCTTTCGGCCTCAGCCTGGCATTAGTCGCATTCTCTAACCACTACAATTCTGCAACATTACACAAACAAAACCCAATTACACAAACAAAACCCAGAAATCCTTTCACAATCCTACATTGCGAGGTTCAATGATCAAATTTTTCCATAATTGAAAACATTAATAAAAACAAACAATTACTAGGAACTAGATTTGCTTCATGAGTACTTGGTGATGCAATGAGACGGGTACAGAGGCTTGGGAACGTCAATATGGTGTGTGTCGAGGAAAGAGAACTCATGCCATTTCTTATTATAGAAATCTCGAGATAGCCTCATCGATTCCTCACCCATTTTCAAAATTTGCTTATCAGGCCGCCTTGGAGTCTATTAATGACCGAAAAAACTCGTGGATTCAATTTGTTGAGATTGGGGAGTGAATTCAAGTGGAACACACGAAAGAGGAGGGAATAGTAAGAAAATTTGCAGATTGGTAATTCTTACCAAGTTGCCAGCGCCAACAATGTAAAAGCCATTAATGATGTCGACCATAATAACCCCGGTTCTAAGATTGCCACCAATAACAAAAGCTTCTTCATTAACGGGAAGCTCGGTCTTCAGCAAATCCATGCTCGTTGACGGAGAAATCATATCTCCCTTTCTTTCTGATGGTGATCAAACCAGAGGCCTGAGACCTTTGAATCAGAGAAACAAACAAAGAAGGCGCGAGAACAAAACTATTGAGGGAAAAAAGAGCTTATGGGCCGGTCGAGTACTTCGGAACATAATATTTGCTCTGTTCAATCAAAGCCTACAGAAGGAGAAAAGTGTTGTGGAGGATGAATGGAAGTAGAGCGTTGGGCAAGGGGGAAGGAGTAAGAGGGGAATAGAAGGAGCTTGAATACAATTTGGTTCGTTGCTAAAGCTGAGTGGGATATTCCTTCGTCGTTTACTTGTCTCTCTTTGTCTAGTGTTGTGCCGAATTTGTGGGCTCGCACTTTGTTGGGATTGGGTAAGTAGAAAAAGCGGTCGATTTTGTTCTCTCTTCACCCAAACTGGATTTATATAAATTCTATTAAAATAAAATTATTTCTTTTTTTTTTTGGTAAGTAAATAAACTTATTTCAATTTTTGTATTAAAGTTATAATAATCTGATATGAGATTGAATTATTAATAATTAATGGATTTGAATATAAAAAAGAAACATCTAATACACTTATCGTTAAACTTTCTCTTGATGGATTTGAATTAATGGTAATTCGAAGTTACCATTAAACTTTTTCTTGGTTGAAATAGTTCAAGATTCGAAGTTACCATTAAACTTTTTTTTTCGGTAAGTAAATAAACTTATTTCAATTTTTGTATTAAACTTATAATAATCTGATATGAGATTGAATTATTAATAATTAATGGATTTTAATATGAAAAAGAAACATCTAATACACTTATCGTTAAATTTTTTTGGTAATTCGAAGTGACCATTAAACTTTCTCTTGGTTGAAATAGTTCAAGATTCATAAAATACACAGGCTAAACAACCCCCAACCTTTACAATAGAAAAGGAAGAATAGAGATCTCTAAGCTAAGTCTAAAAGTTGACTACAACTAGATGTCCTTTGAAGCTGGGTGCAGAACTCAACATATATGCATCCATGCAGTCTCAACTCCTCTCTTACTAGTTCAACCAACAATTCTGGAGATTTATGATTTTCCCCAAACACACGCATGCATCTCTCTTTCCAAATTTAACTAATACACCATAACCCACATGGAGCACTCAATTAACCCACTGGCCGCTGCTACTGCCAATTTGTGCTCTTCTGCTCATGAACCCAAACATGTCTTCCCCAAACCAGGTAACACCACATGCGTTCTCAACATAGTAGCTACAAAATCTCATGCGAACTCATAATCACTAAAAGAGATGAAATCTGGTTTCACCTACATTGCTACAAAGTACATGAAGTTCATCTTTGATCATGCCCCAACACTTCAATTTACCTTTGGTTGCTATTATGTCCAATATAACTAACTAAGTTATAACTATGTTCCTTGGTAGAGTAAATTTTCTCCAGAGAATCTTCCACCATATAACCACATACCTCTTAGTTCCAATGGTTTTCCAAATTGTTGCAAAAGATAATCTAGTCATCTTCTTACCTTGCCATGTAACACAACGTCATTATCATCATCAATCATGTACCTCAACCAAGATATGAGTTTCATGAGTTGCTTCCAGATCCAAGATCCTGAAGAAGTGACCCTAACCTCCCATACAAAAGCACCTCGCAGTTTATGGTGATATGTCCAAGCCACTCAGAAACTACCCTCTTGTAATTAAGAGGAATAACCAAATTACATAGCCATACATGCCACATTCCATGAGACTAAATCTTTTAAACCAAGTCCTCCTTCACATTTGATAATTCCAAAGCCTCCCATACCACCTTTGCTCTCCCAGAACCATCCCCATACCATATAAGGTCAGAGCAAAATTTCATAGATGAATTTATCACTTTCATTGGTATTAAAAAGATGGCCATCCAATAATAAATTACTGAATATAAAACATATTCCACAAGTTGTAGCTTACCAGCACACGGCAATTTGTTTGCCCCCCAATTTCTGACCCTGCTAGTTATCTTATCCACCAAAACCGTACATTCTTTACTAGACAATTTACCCGAGATAAATGAAAGCCCCAAGTAGCAAACTGGTAAATGTCGTTCCTTATACCCAGAAACTTGTAAATCATTGTGTTTAAATGGATGAGACAGTCACTCAAAGAAGACTTCACACTTGTCAGGATTACATTGGAGACCTAAAAGCTTATAGAAATCATTCTGTAAAATCAGAAGGTCATTAGCGAAGCTTAAGTGTGTTAGTCCTAGATGCTTGCATTGTGAATGATAATGAATTTGCCTACTCCTAGCAGTTAGATTCAGGATCCCGTTGAGAGGCTTTATGGCTATAGTGAATATGTAAGGGGATAAAGGATCCCTTGCCTAAACCCGTTAGCGGCTTGAAAGAAACTAAACAAACTTCCATGAATAGAGATGCTAAAATGAGACGAAGTCAAGCATAAGCTGATCTAGTCAAGAAAAGCCTTAGGAAATTCCATTTTCAACATCACACACTACATATAATCACAATTCATAGAATCAAAATCCTTCTTTAAGTCCACTTTTACAACATACCTAGAAGCAATGTTCTTTTTTACATTTCTTGGGTTATTAGATGTTCTCAAAGATACTTCTGCCCTAGATAAAAGCATATTGGTTTCTACTGATGATTGAGGGCAGAACATTCTTAAGCCTATTAGCTAAAGCATTTTATATGATCTTATAAATCACATTAATACAAGATATTGGTATGTAGGCACTTAATCTATCAACATTTGTAACTTTTGGGACAATAGTCAAAGATGCAGACTTCACATGTCTTGGAAGTTTTTTTTTCTACTAAAAAACTATTGAACCTCTTCAATGATATCTAAGCCAATAGGTACCTAGCATTTTTGGTAGAATTTAGCTGTCTGGTCCAAGGGCCTAAGATGCATCCATTTCAAACAAAGCAGTCCTCACCTCTTTACCAGACATCTCTTCATAGAGGCTCTTCTGCTCCATAATAGATAATCGTCCAATCAAGAAAATCTCGATGAAACTACTATCCATTATAACCTCCTCATTCGCAGTACCAAACAAATCCATGTAGAACTTGATCACTTCATCCGCAATGTCTTGAACTTCTGTCAATTCCTCCCCACCCTGAGACATAAACGTCCTTATTTGCTTCATGGCGGTTCAAATTTGAGCAGTTTTATGGAAGAAAGATGAATTATGATCACCCAATGCTAACCACTTTATTCGAGACTTCTGTCTAAAGAAAGCCTCTTCTGCTTTTTTCAACTGAAGTAAAGCCTAAGTCACTTCTTTTACTTCAGCAAAGAGATCCTCATAGGGATCCTCAGGTCAAAAAAAGGTATTAACCCTAATATCATCAATGACCTTTAACGAATTAGATTTCATCAAATAAAGTTTATGTCAATGGTTATATACTTTATAAAAAGGGTTAATACCTTATTTTGACCAGTAGTATGACCATATAATCAATTTTGGCCCGTTGTTTTAGAAATTAACATCCTAACCTCAAATATGCAGCATATAGTCTAGTTGTGCCGGATGTCTGTTTTGACCGTCAATTTGGACAGTCAACGCTTCAGCTCACCACCACGTCAGTAACAAATAAATAAAAAATAAAAAATTTCTAATTTCCTTTATCTAATAAAATAATAAAGAATGGTATATAAAATTAAAAAAAAATAATATTGTGATCCCAAATTTCCCAAATCCACCAATTTCCCAGATCCCTCTCTTCCTTCTTCTTCTTCTTCTTCTTCGTTTTTGCTTCAACACTGTCGCTTCTCTTCCTTCTTCTTTGTTTTGGCTTGACCACCGCTGCCTCTCTTCCAAACCAGGGATCAACGACACCATCGAACTTTCGAGGAAAACCCAGCAGCTGCTGCCGGAACTCGAATTCGCGTCGCGTATTTCCCCCACGCCCTCTACCTCATTCCTTTATACTGCCTCCTGCCGCCGCCTCCAGATCTCCTAGTCGTCGTCCAATCGGGGGGTTCTGGGTTTGCTGTGAGTGGATAGAGAAGTGAGGTTAGAGCATTTTTCATTTTTATATTTTATTTTAGGTTTAATTTTATATATTTATATGATTTGATAAACAAAATATAAAAAATAATTTGAAATTAGAGTTTTTTAATTCATTTGGTGCTGAGCTGGAGCATTGACTGTTAGTCAACGGCGTTGACAGTCCAAATTGACGGTCAAAACAGACATTCGGCCAAACTAGACTATATGCGGCATAGTTGAGGTCATGATGTTAATTTCCGAAACCATGGGTCAAAGTTGATTATATGGCCATATTTCAGGCTAGAATAAGGTATTAACCCTTAAAAAATATATAGCGTAGAATTTGTAGGTTGTGTTCGAATCCTACTAATACTTATTTATAAGTTTGTTTTTTTTAGTCAGATTGTAACAAAAAAAATTAAAATTAATAAAATGACAAGAAAATAAATAAAATTTTTGAAAATTTAAATTTATGTTGTTTAGATTATAGAAAGCTTTGTTCATCGCAAAGCTGACAAGGTCTCAAGCGAAACCTGGTTCAGGGATCTCTTCTAGGTGCTCGATTCCCCGATCTTTGAACTATGACTTCGGGGGTTTGGTTTTCGCTTTTTGTGGTTTCTTTTTCTGCCTCTTCTCCTCTGAAGGACCGCTTTTATTTCCTTGTCTTTGCTCCCTCTTGTTGTGGGTTCAGTTCTGTTGAACCCTTTCTTTAATCTTTGTACTGTGTTATTTGTACTTTGCTTCTTGCATTATTTTAATTTAATCACCGTCATAAAAAAAGCTTCTGCCAACAAATGTGCTCTTCAGCTCCCGATTCAGGGCAGCAGAGTAGGACTGCGAGAAGCCGTCTTCACCATCCTCATTATCCCCATCAGGTGCCATGATGTCACCTTCGTTATCCGACTCGTCTGCCAATAAGAGGATATGACGTCAGAAAAGGGCAACAGAAACATAATAGAAACAAAACCAGCTGCTAACTCAGGGAGGAAGCGTAACATGTCCAGATTACCAGATATAGAAAGCTCAAACAACTTAATCCAATTCCATTTATTTGTTCCTTAATTGTAGGATACAAAGAGGTGAGCTGAACCAGAAAAGTGTCTATCTAGATGCTCCAGATATTCTCTAGTTCAACATTCTTTCACAGGACTAACAGAGATAAGGCCGCCAAAATCTGAGGAACTCGGTTATCGACTGCTGCTATTCCTATGAATAAGAACTGCAACGTTTCCTAAGTTCAAGTAGCGAGAAAAATTGAAATTCACCCAACAAAGTAACTTACCAAACTCCATATCAGATGAAGATGCTTGTTCTTCACTTTCAGTATCACCATCCCTGGACTCCGGGACATAACGCTTCATTACTGATTCCATGCCTTTTATAAACCGGTCAACGTCGAGATCCACTTCTCCTTCTCCCAACTTCCTACACAAGAGTCGATGACGAGAAGTCACGTATTTTAGACCCACACTCCCCCAAGGGTACATGTATATCCACAAGTAGTAACTTTACAAGAGAGCAGAAAAAAGTTTCTGAACCAACACTTTGATTCCTAACATAAAACAAACCTGTTTTTCGGAACTTCAGCTCCCTCGAAACTGGACACCTTCTCTACAAATGCCTACATGCTACGAGCCATGTCCTGAAGATTGAAGTTAGTCATCAACATTCGCGCTGGACAACGAAGGACCACTGCCCTCTGGCTCTTTCGACTCCTTTCGAAGTTGAGCATTATACTGATCAATCTCCTTTTGCCTCACTTGAAGAGCATCGTTCAACTCACTTTCACCACCATAGAGCAAGGAATCATCATCCGAAGGAGGAACTTTATGTTGCTTAAAGTTGTCTGCTGAATGAGGCATAGCAAGGATCTTATCAATCCGACTCACCGGGGCACTAGTCGTCTCACTGCCACAGAAACACAAAATACCCCCATGAATCACCCACTCCATAACAAGAACGAACTTAAAAAAAACAACCTTGACCCTCAAGAAACCATGAACTAGAATAACCTAGTTCTCAGGGCCAAAGAGCTCTTCCTGTAATACTCCTCTGCAAACTCCATTAACCGCTTGTACTCGATAGAACCAGGCAACAGGCCTTTGAAGTAGCCACTTGTCTCCAAGATATCCTTGTACGTCTCCATATTACTTCCTCTCGATTCCACTCCTTCCTTCCTCCCCTGCTGATACATCATTTCTAACCCACAAGCAATCATTATCCCCAGCTCTGCCTCCAGATACGCCATCAAGTCCTCACTTCGATTTGGCATGGTATGCGGCTGAAACTTCTGCAGCATTAACTGCGTACTTGGCTCTAGACATCTTAACCGCCACGCAAACGAGCTCCTTCTGCCTCCCTCCACTCAGGAACTTCTCCATTTTCGTCGCATACTTCATGGTATCGATATCCCTATCGTAGAACCCTTCCACCGCCAGAGAAATCAAACAAGGCTCGCATGTCAACATTTGCGCCACCGAGACCGGAACCCTGACCCAAACACAGTGCGTGTTTTGCCTCGCTCTCCCTGGATAGTCCGAAATCCGATCCTTCACCACCTTCTGAATTGGCTCCAAAGCTCGAGACTCGGTTTCAAAATTCACCAGAAACTTCAACGATTCAGGTAAGCTAGGGTTGGGGAGACGCTTCTTGGGGACGATCCGGAGATCGCAGCGGCGAATAAACACACGATTCGCGCTGGTCTCGGGGTCTATCCAATGAGGGAGGCGGAAAGCGGCCTCGATGAGGCGCCGTCATTGTCCCAGCCGGGGACGGAGATCTAAGGGAAGTTGAACGAAATTTCAAAGAGGAGAAAGACGGCGAACCACTCATCCTCGATGTTGTCCCCAAACCGGAGCTTCCCATGGAGGTGAGGAAGGGAAGGCTTACCGTCGCATGGACAGGACGACGGAGCAGAGATAGAGAGAGAAAGAGGCTCGTGCTGCCAGATGTAGGAGGAAGTATGAGGGGACAGGAACTAAAGGATTTGGAGGTGAAGCGACTGAAGGAAGTGGGAGGGAGACGGCGCAGGAGAATCTAAGACGAAGCAGTCGGTGAATATTGCAAAGAAAACGGTGTCATCGGGAAGGCGGGAGTGGGAGGAGGAAGAGAAGATGGAAGCGGTAGGTTAGCCTGTCAAGAACCAGTTGATCCCAACTCGAGTTGTTGGGAGAGGTTCAATCGTGGATCATATACCGTTTACTAACACAGGTCCAGATACCGTGTGCTTAACAGAAACAGATGGGATCACCGGGAATCGAACAAAAGACCTCACGGTCACAGAAGGCTCTGATACCATGTCAAGAACCAGTTGATCCCAATAACTCGAGTTGTTGGGAGAGGTTCAATCGTGAATCATATACCGTTTACTAACATTGCCGTCTCTCGGCAGCGGCATGGCGGCCATTTCCGGGTGGATATTCTAGGTCACTGTTCCTTAAGGAGACACGTCGTTATTCGGGGGAGCAGCCTTCTTGCTTAATTGGCCAATTGGGAAATCAGACCAATAGTCCAACTAGAATAGGTGGTTAACGGTTACACGTTAATCGATTAAACTGTTAAACAATAAACGGGGCTTGCTATTTGCCGCCAACCAAATTGCTATTTGCCGCCAACCAAAAAAAAAAGTATATATATGCATCTTTGGTTAAGGAGTTTCACAATCTACAACATATCCAACTTTCAGAGAACGTATTTAATCAGAAAAATTCAACGTCGCCGGAAAAGTCGCCGGAAAATCATCGATGAAAAAAAATGTATATATATACATCTTTGGTTAAGGAGTTTCACAATCTACAACATATCCAACTTTCAGAGAACGTATTGAATCAGAAAAATTCAACGCTCGCCGGAAAAGTCGTCGGAAAATCATCGGGAAAGCTTATCCTCGACATATAATGCGTACACGCATCCATGAATCATCACTAACCATCAGACAATGTGGGCAAAGTGCTACACGAACCATGTGTTTCAAACCCTGAACCCTAAACCCTGAACCCTGAACCCTTTGTTGATGTGACTTGAATCGGACTATCAGCCGCTACGACTGGTAATCGGGGGTCTCGCTGCTATTTGGGTTCGAGTTCTGGGCCTGGTCTGTAACCGTTTCCTTTGTCATATTGGATTAGGTTTAGACCCACATGGAGAAGTACTATAAATACTTCGTGTTAGTGAACTACGTAAATCGTGTGTCGTGTTGCAATGCTCTATTTATATGTTGTTGTTTTTCTAGTTGTATTTTTAATGACCCTAGTGTCATTATGAACTTATGAATTTCATTATGGATTTCTAGCGAGTTCGGGGTCGATTGGACGAAGATCGGGCGCGAGGCAAGTCAATCGTCGGTCGCCGGCACCGTTCTTCCGTCGTCGGCTAACCTCCCGTCGCCCTCAATCGTCGGAAAACAAGTAAGTTTACTTTTTCCGGCCAGTTTTCCAGTTTTCCGGTAAGTTTTCCAGTTTTCCGGCGAAAAACACGGCGGGCCAAAAAAAAATTGCGGCCGTGGCGTCGCCGGGCCGAAAGAATTTTTCGGCCGGCCGTCGTCCCGGCCACAAATTTTTTTCGGCTCGGCGACGTTCGGGCCGCAATTTTTTTTCGGCCCGCCGTGTTTTTCGCCGGAAAACTGGAAAACTTACCGGAAAACTGGAAAACTGGCCGGAAAAAGTAAACTTACTTGTTTTCCGACGATTGAGGGCGACGGGAGGTTAGCCGACGACGGAAGAACGGTGCCGGCGACGGAGGCACTGGGAAGGAAGGGAAAATTCAAAATTTTTTTTTTTTTTTTTTACCGGCGACGGAGGCACTGGGAAGGAATAGAAAATTCAAATTTTGAATTCTTTTTTTTTTTTTTTAGTTGGCGGCAAATAGCAATTTGATTGGCGGCAAATAGCCGTTCACCAATAAACTACCCGTTCTGGTAGTTATTAGATAATTATCAACTGATAGTTAAAGTGGTTAGCAACTTACGCTAAAATAGGTTTTGATAAGCCGCAGGCATATGCAAACAATAAAGGAGTTGATAAAGATCGTTCTTAAAATTACTAATGATCGTCCTAAAAAACAATAAAGTTACATTTTTTAGCTTTTGGCGTCTTTACATTTTCTTTAGCAAACAAACATCAATTTGACTAAAAAAATGAAAACACTCAATCTCCCACACTCTTGAATTCATCGTTGACATTCTGAAGTCGTAATCATCAACAATACGTCCGAATCATGAGTTGCGACTCCGACGAGGTAAAAATCCAAAAACGAAAAAAATCCAAAACCCCTCAACCGAATCCAATTTTCGGTTGTACCACGATCAACCGAAAACTATCTTCGGTTGAGCCATGGTGCAACCGAAGGTGATTTTCGGTTGGTCCATGACACAACCAAAAATTGACTTCGGTTGAGGGGTTTTTGGGAGGTCTTTTTTTGTTTATATCAATAATTTTCTATTCTTTTGCTATTATATATGGTTCGGTCCATAAGATAATTTGTTAGATTTTGGTTTATATTTTTGTAGATTTATGGAAGGGGGAGGGGTTGTTTGTTTTGTGTTTCATTTTGAAATTCAAAATGGACAATCCGGTAAATTACGTATTAAGTTAGGATGATGGTTAGTAATTTTTTGGACGACCTTTAACCATTCAAAAAAATATGTTTAAAGACCTACAAGATCTTTTGCCTACCCTAGTTGTAATAGTGACTTAAGTTCAAATAAGAGTAATTTCAAGTAAGGGCTTTAGAAGGAGTACAGTAGAAAATTGAACTTGTGCAAAGTAGTTCGACAACAATCAGTAACATTTAAACTTCCATGTAATTTGATGGAGTTTATGAGCTGAGCAATTATTTTGGGTCTCTTATTCTTGTCTGCTTATTTAATCAAATATGATCGTAAAATGTTATTTATTGTGTAAGTGTGTTGGATTGAGTTGATTATGGTTTGATATCTATGGTATTTTTTTTTTTCCAATTATGACAACTTAAAAAATAACACATACATATGTAGGAAAAAATCTATAAAATTGCATAATTGAAAAAAGAGGATGTTTTTTCTTTGTTTAGATATCAGTCGGTTGTTTTAGTATAATCTTGTCGAATCACTTGATTAACGGTTATCTAGTTAACCAACATAATAATCGATAACTTACTATACAGTTAACCAACTAATATAAACGGTGCATTTAATGGCAAGCGCAAAGTGTTTAACAGTTGATCGATAATTGAACCGAACCGAAAGTTAACAATTACACCAGTAATCGATTAAACAATAAACGATAGGTTCCAAGTAGCTAATTTTAGATAATTATTAACCGATGGTTAAACGGTTGGTAACTGACGGTTGAACGACTAACCGATTACAGTAATCTTTAGTTATGATAGAAAATAATAGGCATTTATGAGCCGCGACATATGCCAAAAATAATGGGATGTTTGAAAACCTACAAGATTATTTGCCTACGCTAATTGTAATAGTTACTTAGGTTCAAATATGAATAATTGTCAAGTAGTAGTGATCTTCCCTGTCGATCATCGTCTCTACAACGAGGAAGGCCAACATGGAGATCATGGAGCAACCAAGCATAGTGATCTGAGAGCGACAGTTGGGGAAGTTCTAGTTTTTTAGGGGCATCCGTCTCAGTTTGGTCTCACTGTCTGTAAAGAAGTGGTTAACTAGTTCTTGACATGATATTAGAGTTAGTTTATTCTTGAGGTCATGTGCTCAAGTTTTCACAATTTCAAATATTAACCGTTGTCCCATTATTTTTACATTTGGCTCTATGGCGGGCAGAATGAAGGAGTAGATTTGTCGTTGTCCCTGTTGCTAACAAGATAAACGTCTTTTAGAAATGTGTTTCCAAAAGGGATTCTTTTATTCAAATGAGCATTTCTACTATGTTATAAAGCATTGGTGCTTTAATGTACAACTTAAAGTTGTACCATAACATTAAATGTATAAGTGCAGGTTGTACAATAAAGGAATTTGTACCCATATATTATGGTAGAATTTGAAGTTGTACAATAACATAAAGGTACAAGTTCAAGTTGTACCATAAAAGAATTTGGACAAAAAGAGTAGGTGCAATTTAAACTTGTACGATAAAGTTAAAGGTACAACTTCAAGTTACACCATAAAGGTAAAAACCTATAGCACCAATGCTAAATAGTATTGTAAAATTCATCAAATAAAATATCTCCTACAACTAAAAAAATAAATAGGCAAAATTAATCTTA